ACCAAACTCCAAACCAAGAACCCAACCTTTCTTAACAAACGTTAAAGGTGTTGAGAATTATTCTAGCCTCATCCTCAGCACATTCTTCCACATTTTCAGATCTTGTCACTGGCTCAGCCAGCCAGCATGAGGCCCCTGAAGGCATTGTCATGGCAAGGTACTCTGAAGCCAATTTGGTTAAAACATCCTCCTTCAAAAAGAACCTGTCAGAACAAAGTTCCTGTCAGAACAAAGTTGTTAGAAAAGTAGGATGATTGGATTTGGGTAAAACCCCAAACACACTCTCACATTATTTAAAAGCAGAAATGCATGCACTCCAAGGAGTAGCTTAGTGATGTACAGTCCAGAATTGCATCTATCACACTCTCCACTGTCCTCCTACCATACTTTCACTGGCTGGATAAATCAATGCATAGGATAGGACCTAATTTGGTTTTCTGGAATAAAGTTATAATTACATGACCAGTATCTCGAAGAGTTAGTTTTGCAGGATGCTATAATGCAACTTAGGAACAGATACATTTTCTTAAGTATTACTGAAGCAGCTTCTTCTTTGTCAAGTTCAAGCAAACATTTTTCCACCCTAATTTATTGCTGTGGTCCCTATTCTCACATGTTCTACAGCTATTCAGAGCTCTAAACAGTGCTTAAGTACTTGTTAGTGGCGAGTGACCTGTTACCAAAATTGTGTAGTTAATTCAACTTTTTCTTAACTGAAACTTCCTTTCTTTCTAGCTGATATTAAAAAACCCACAGTGTTAGCAAAAATAGGACAGGTTTTTGAAAATGAAGGTTATTCCTATGTCCTGTGAATTACTTGGATTGGAAACAAGGATACAGAATTAGTAAATCATTTATGAAATGCTTTATCAGGAAAAATAATTATTTAATTTCAAAACATCCTTAGTAGCATTTAGTAATATTAAAAAATACTCGCATCTGAACTTTAAAAGCATAAGAAATATTGCCGTTACCTAGAGGAACTTTCAAACCTTCATCATCATTGAAATAAGTAAGATCTACTGAAACATAGCTGGTTTCAGTAATTGCAGACCCACTGCATTGCGTTAACCTCAAATTTGCAATTTAAGGTTAAGGTTAGAGATAAAGGGGAAGATGACAGCAGTCCACCCTTGTTTATCTTGTTTAATTTTTGCCCTAGCCCAGACCAATGACTTTTTCTCTCCACAGCACTGTTTCAAAAGGGGAACTCTCACATTGCACAAGGACTCTCTACATTTGAGTTTACCTTAAGTCATTTGGAGAAATACTGCTCTGTTAGGGTTTTAACCACTGCCAGCAACAAAGCCTCCATGCAAAGACATTTTTGCCAAGCTGCATTCTGTTGCAGGGAGAGACTACTTCTCATATGCTCGGGTGTGAAACAAAACTACTGTTACCTGATTTCCTACACCATTTCTGTACTTCACACTACCCTTTCCTGATATAACTGCTGAGGCTGTGTTGGCTACCCTTTCAGAAAGATTAAGGTCTCAGTTTCAGCTGTGATCTGTTTAAGCTTTTTTTCCCATATGTTTCACTAACTTTGATTTCCATAGACACCATGTGTAGGTCTCACAGTAATAAGTTATTAAGGACTGCAGAGGAAGGCCAAAGAACATCATTACCCTCACTGAAACAGCTGCAGGAGGAGGAAAAAAAATATACCCAATCCAAAAGCAAAACCTATACACACTCCATTGCTCATTTTTTGCCACTGATAATTTTATTTGCTCTCTGCTAATCAGTGACCACCATGGGAGAAGTGATCTGCCTTTCTGATACTACCAGAGCCCAAAGAAAATTTGGCAAAAATCTTGTAGATCATATTTTCTATTCTTATTAAAAAAATAATAATAATCTAAAGAACTTCAGTGCCTGTCCCATTCTTTTTCCATGCCATACTAATTGTTGCACGCACACACAGTAATAGCCAAGGTAACTGTCCGGGCAGAGGCCAGCAAATAAGAGCACCACAGAAGGCAACCACAGAAGCTGTGCACTTCAGTATCTCACCACCTTTCAACAGAGAAACATTGTTTTGACATTCCTTGGTTTTGCAGATACTTTTAGAAAGGGCACACAAAGTGCAGTGGCGTTCAAGCTCTGGGTTCAATGGCACATAACTTTTCGGAGCAGCACGAAGTGTTGCAGGGCCATTCAATTCCATACTCAGTTGTCTCCCCTTGGCTGTGTGGCTAAACCTCTCTGCATTAAGGGAATGGGAAAACAGAAAAAAAAAAAAACAAACATGAAAGTTTTCAGCAAATGTTACCGAGCTTTTGAATAACACATACAGCTTGGGTGATGCTCTGAGCTTTTCACATACAGCTAGTGATGTCACACTGCGACTGTGACATCAGCGCGGTTCTGACACAGGAGCTCTACCCACGCAGCTTGACTCAATATTTAGTTCTGTAGTTTTCCTACTCCTTCAGAAAAAGATAACTGGGACATTATGGTGCCAAGTGTCATTCCATTTCCAAGCTCAAGCATATGTACCAAACACCTCCTTTCTAGCGATAGCTTGCTGACTAACTCAGCAGTGTCTCTACTGTGCATCTCCTGTATGCAGGGAGATTTTTGACAAACTGGAAACACACCTACCCAGGCTGGTTAATAATTCTTGTGATAATTAAACACAATTCTTCCCTCCTTTTCTTTTTTCTTTTTTTTTTTTTTGAACAGCAATGTGAAAAGAGCAAATCACTTCAAAACAGCATGACATAGAAGTCTAAGACTCTGGCATTATGGGTATTTAGGATGAACTGCTTGAGCCTAGATTTTACCTAGTATTTAAATCCAACTGCTCCTAATGCTCAGCTGGAAGCACACAGACTAAACCCATCCACTTGGGTCAGAACCTTCCCACACGCCCACAAACACAAGTGAAAATTTTCCCCCCAAATTTTGCTAATTCACGTAAACCCTTTCTCAAGGGAAAACTTGCTCGTCTGCAACTGACTGGGGGAAGAGTCCTAGAGCACCCCAGGATAAGAACAATGGGCTGTGTCTCCAGTTGACACTGCCTCATGAAAAAATCTTGAGGGTATAGCAATATGTGCAGCTTCTATCTGTGGGAGTGTTGTTCACTCCTAAACTAGGGTATGAGCACCCAGATCAGGTAAGTGGCACTGACCCAGTTACCTGCAGAGACTCACCATGCTGCACTCGCTGCACCCTCAGCGAGGAGGATCACACGGTAACATCAAACCAACCCGTGGAGCTGAATCCAGGTCTGCAGCAGGCCAGCAGCATCTGCTTACACTCAGCAGATGTACTCTGGAGCACGAAAGGCTGGCAGCAAGTAAATATTTCACTCAGCTGAGGTTTTGCCTATACTGCAGAATGAAGTTGCCTATAGTGCAGAAGGCAACTGAAACGAGTGTGGGCCAACCCACAGCAAACCAAATCCAACAAATCAAATCTAACAAATTCACCCAGTGAGTCCAGCAGCACTAGCAGGGAAGATGAGGAGAACAGGCTTCAACCCAGGCCAGCAACACAAGCACAAATGCAGGAAGCCCAGCAGGTTGCACATCCTGTTCCACAGCATCACCATGGCTATTCTTAGCTGCAGGAGCTGGTGCAAGGGAAATGCTGGAAAGCCAAGAAACACTGTAACTAGAAACAGAGCTTGGGTGATGTCGAGGTGGGGGGAGAGGCGTTACAATTTGGTCTCAGCACTGGTTTAAGGTTTGCACTGATTGTCACAAAAAAAAAAACAAACCAAAAAAACCAACAAACCAAAACCAAAAATGCATATATAAACATGCTAACCAAAGTTTCAGTGGCACAGGTTTCATGCCAGGTTTGGGATGGATCAGACTGAGAAGGTGCCTGCTGAAAGTGCTTGTCTGCCTGGGGTCAGACACAGCTTCACTATCATCCTGCCCTTCTCCTGTGGCATCAGCTCCTCCAATGCAAACACAGCAAGGAGTTGTTTTTCTGGGAGCAGGATCTGGTCCTCGAGGTAGTCGGGCAACTATCTGGGGTAGGAGGTCTAGGAATGACATGAGTAAAGGTAGGTGTAAAAGCAAAAGTAAGCTACAGATCTGAAGCTTCTCTTCTATTAATTAAAATTGCCAGAACAGCATGTCTCATAAAGGATATTCATATTAAGTTTAAATCACATCTTTTCATAATGAGGTAGAAGTAGCTTTGGAAAATGGCAGAACTCAAGCTCATGTGCAATGCTTACAGCACATCCAAACACACCCTCCTGTGCATATAACTAATAATATGGGATCACCTTTCCTTGAAGCAGTAAAAGGAGCTGCTGAAGCTGCACCAGTGAAGGGCTCCAAAATGAACTCATCACTGCAAGCTCATTAACAGCTCAAGGCAGGTATTAGTAACCATCTTGCTCTCCTCAGTGCTAGTGCTGGCAGCCGCAGTCAGTCCTTTTCTCCCAACAAACTTCACAAACTGCAGTGTTTCTGAATGAAATCAAATGAAGCTGAAAAGTACCAAAGCATCTTCTGCTCTAAAGTAGCTTTTTTTCCAGACATTAAACAGAATAGTACAGACTTCTATTAGGAAGCCTACCTTATTGACTCTTACGTTAGATATTTAGCCACAGCCAATTAACATGACAGGAAGATTTTTTTATTCTTTTCAGAAGTTGTTTTTCTTACAGGAAAAAAAAAATGCTTTTTGCATAATTAACTCTTCACGTGATACTAGAACTGAGCAACTGTTCTTTTAATTGCACCTGGAATCCAGACGGTTGGAGGCCAGCACTTCACAACTCATTTACTAACCTCCTCTTCTATTTGTGCGCTTCTTCGCATTTGTTTCTGAGGTTCTGTGAGATGGTGAAAGTGCATTCCAACCAGTTAAATTCCTTCCCAGGAACTGATCTGAGAAAGAAATCCCAACTAAAAGCGTTTGAAATTCAAGAGCTCCATTTATTTTCTCAGCGCTTTAATACTTAAAAAAAAAAAAAAAAAAAAAAGAACAAAAACCCCAACATTATTGTTTATTTTAAAAGAAGGCAAAAAGAAATATCATCAATGAACAAGCTATGCCAACTATATTTTAACATTGTTCAGAAACAGGATCCAGGACATGAAAAAAAAGAAGCCAAATTAATCCCATGTGCTTTTTGGAGATATATTGATGAAAGATATTTTTCAGTTTTGTGGGTTTGCTCTTCAACTAATTAGACCACACGGTGAATGCAGAAAATATAAATGTGAGCCTGCTAAAACATGGTGCTGTACCTCACGGGCAGCTAACCACACAAAGAAAAGGTCACTAGGAATAATCGGACCCTTCTGTTATCAGCAAAGCTACGTTTGATTTAGAAAACTGTCAAGTCTGGCTTTAGCCCAAGCAATTGGAGCATCCACCTCTTTCCATCTAGCTGAGAAAGAAAAAACCAGAGATGCCATGGAGCTGACAACTTAAATGCATACCTAAAAAGGGTGTAACTGATGCTATGCTATGAAACTAAAATAGTCAGAGCATATTTATATGCTTTTAAATATAGTTAGCAGTATTTCCCATTCCCTCCATGTGGAACTCGGAACATCTAGGTAAAAAATTCACCCCCTCTGTCCCCCCAGGTCTCTCCATAGCTGAAGAGATTAGAAAGTGCAGTCAAAGCAGGGGGCAGGGGAATGAGAATGGCAAGAATCTTTATCCCTCCTCCCCAAACTCTACCAAGCAGTGTTTAATAAATTCAGATGGCCTGATTTCAGAAGCAAACAGCAATGTCAGTTTAGCTAAACTTGTTAATAAGTCTCAGGACACTCAGTGAGCTTTTTCCCCTTTCTTTTTTAAGAACGGGGGAAAGGAATAAATCCTGGAATTGGATCAAACTGACAGTATTTCTGCAGCAAATTTAGAAACACCACAATAGTCCTGATTTTAATACATCCATAAAATCTAGGTACTTTTACTCTGTAAAAGCACTGGCAGAAGCTTTGGACTCACTCCCACAAGTAATTCTTTGCATGCAAGTAAGTACTCGTCAGCCCGATGAAACTACTCAAGAATACAGACATTTTCAGGAGTGAGCCCCTGCCGTGACTTTTGGGGAGTCACAAGTCGGGGCGAGTTCTTTTGCATAACTCTGTGTCTGTCCATACCGCACACCACGATGCAGCAGCAACAGATACCACCAACAGCCCAGAATGGCTGTTTAAAGCAACCAAGCTAAAATTATGAGGGGTTCCACAGAAACGATTCACCCTGCTACAACGGAAGCTTGATGGAGCTGTGGCTAGCCCACTGAGTGTCTGAATTAGTTCTGCACTGCACCTTAGGCGCAGATATAATCTAAGAAGTGATTCTAAAACAGCATGTTCCGGGATGAGACATATAGTAAGTGTAAAATATTTCACCCAGTGACATTTGGTACATCTATGACACATTTAATCGGAAGCCTAAACAATCTAGACATTGAAGTAAAAACTTATTTTTCCTTAAAATCAGTGTTCCATAGGTCTTTTTATTTTAAAAATTCAGGAATGTGATACACAATACAATTAGCTCCCCCTCCATTGCAGTGTTCACTTACATGAGATTCACTAGTGCCATGCTTTGTGGAAAAAAAAAAAAGAGAGACTGTGCAGTGTTTTTGAATGATCTCAGTATTCTGAAACTGTGATCTTCACAACAAATCAAGTCTGTATAACCTCAGACAGATCAGGTTAAAAAAAATTCAAGCTCTATCACAAGCTAGTGGGCTACAGTCGGGTCTCATACAGCCAGAACAAACAGAAAAATTATGTTCCTGCTGCTGCACAGCCACCAACTTGACCTCACTATATGCTTTCAGGGAATTTGCCATGGAAGGCTAAAGAGACTAAAGGGCCCCGTCAACACCAGCTGGTGCTGCACGTGCAACACAGCACATGACAGAGAGACCACGCAACTCCCCCTTCTGCCCCCATCACCATCATCACCATCACATCTTCATCCTGTAATTAAAATAATGAGGGGGAGAGCTTTTTGTCTTTTAAGCTAGCCATTGCCTGCAATGGACACAGAAATAGAAAAATATGACTTCTGGCTCAAAAAGAAAAGATTAAATAGTTTAAAATGGAATAGTGACTACAACTTCATCTATCCAGATGCATTTACTGAGACCAGCGATGGCAACTGTTATGACTTAATAGTTGCTCTGTTTTTATAATAGCAACAGGAGAGAAGTCACAGTCAGTGCTACTACGGTTTGTCTTGCTGGTATCTTTTTAAATAAACTAAAGAGCAGTAGTACTATGGTGCATTAGAGATATACAGCAGGACCTCAACTAATGATTGAGACCAATTTTAAACTAATGATCAAAATAATTAGTGAAAGTTTACCATAAAAAGCAAGGATACAAATTTTAAAAAAAAAAATAGTACTTTGTTCCTTTCAAAATTTACTTGTTTAATATTCTGTAGTATACTAGCAGTGGTAGCATATTCTGCAAATGTAGTCAACTCTAGATCATATACAGGTAACAGAAGAAAGAGTTAAGATAATTCAGACAAAACAAAAACATATATAAATACTATATTAACATATTTAAGTTAGTTTATGAGACTGTACAACAAGCATAAACACAGAAAAAGGGGAGCAATGCTGGTGGCTGTGAAGCACCAACATCCCCAAAACAGCGCAAAGCTGAACCGACCTATCCACACTCTGCAGCTTCCTGCAGATGCATCTGAGCAGCCAAGAGGCAAAATAAGTGCCTGGTGCTGTGCTGCACCCAGGCCAACACACCCTGTGAGAGGGGCTCCTGTGGAACCGGCTGAGTGCCTCTGCTTTTCCAATGCCTTGGCACACAGCACTTGGCCAGCGCACAGCACGCGATGCAGGGCTGGTCTGGGCTCTGCAGACTGCACAGTTAATACACAACACTGGTAATCAACCCATGGATAATCGAGAGTTGACTGCAATGCTCTGCTTTGGGTAAGACCACTGACGTGACTTGGGCCAATCCAGGTCCGATGAGCAGCAGGACTATTTTGAACTATTTAGGAGCAATTACGATATGAGACATGTAAGAAATGCAAACTAGCAAGGTGTTCTGTATCTGGAGGCAAAGCTACATTCCCTTCACTAACAAAACATTCTTTTTTTAAAAAAATCTACATTTAAATACTGTTAAAAACCTGAAAACCACAGCATCAAAGAATTTCATAAGGCCAAAACTATTCTCAGTTCCCTCTGGTTGTGCCTAGGTATTGCCATACATTTGTAGAAGTAGCAAACACTATGTAATCTAGTATCTTCTACTCTTTTTCAGTGCCTTCCAAGTAACAAATCTCAGAGCTCTTCACACAAGAGTTAAGCCTCACAACACCCCTGTGAGGTAGGTATTATCCCCATTTTAAGACAGGGAAACTCAGGCAAAGTGTTTATCATGTCCAGAGTCATAGAACAAACAATGGAAGATCTGAGTTGTTTTCCAGTTTTGAGCATAGGAGAGTCAAATAAGCACAAGACATTAGTTCCTGTACGTAACGCGAGAGTGGATCAAAAGGGCTGGGGTTTTAGATTATATTTCTTATATGTTTTATCTTCAACTCTCACCTAGTCTCTGCCAAATTCACAGAGCCCACTGACCAGTTTCTCTTCTCTGCTAAGGTGTAAGTTGGCAGCATACTGTAACAGCTTCTTTAGAGCCAGTTGTCAATTAACTGAGTCAAGATTTTAAAACACAGATTTGGATACTTAATAAGTGAAATTACGTGATACATAAACACCTCAAAGTGTGAAATACAGTGAATGAAATCCTGCTCCCTGCGCCACTTCCTCAAAAGTCCTGGAGGGCTCCTGAGGACACGGTGGGGACCAGGACTGTAGTCACTGCAAGTGCTTCCACTCAACTAGAAGCAAAATGCACCACTGTGTTACTTGTTGCGAAGCTGCTGTCTGAGCTGGAAAGCACAAATTATACTGTCGGTGCTTGGCAGACGTTCCCCGACTGCGCACTTACTGACATAACTAATTATTTTGTCTTAGTAAACTCAGCATCAGTTAAATATAAAGCTCCAGCTTTTGATTCACAGCACTGTGAGTCAAGGGTTCTTTAAATATTGAAGACTTCCAAGATACAACTTGGAAGCAAGAAAAGCCACCAGAAAATACACAAAATATGAAAGTATGTGTTACTGTATCAATCAGTCTCACATCTTGATCACAGAGCAGTATACAGTAGCTTGAACTTCCATTCTGGTAGAAAAAAACCCTTTCACATCTGTTGTTTTCAATTACTTTGCTACCTTACCAAAAGAAGTGAGGACAATTTCTAACAATCACAGGATGTTCTCTTCAAAAAATGCAATAAATTCAGTTGAAAAGCCTTCACATTTATTATTATTACATAGCTTTAAGAAAAATATGTGAAACTGCAAAGTGGTTTCCAGTTTTTAGTAGCTTTCTCTTTTAAAATGTTCTATGAACTTTGGTTTTCTTAGGGCTTCTAAATAAACAATATATTAAAACATCTACAAATCAAATATTAAAGGAAAAAGTAGGTCCAAGAAATATGTAACACAAATCGAGTTCCTACATGCTTATCCCTCAAATACCTTTTCACTTGAAAAAAAAAAATCTTAATTTGAAGCACAGCAAAAAGTGTCTCTGCTGAAATGCTGAAACTGGTTTTCTGAAGTTGTTACAGCATAGGTGCACTTTCTGTCTGTCTCAGTCAAACAAAGTCAACACAAACACATTGTATCATGACAGTGACATTATATTCTTTAAAACAAGCATTCTATATTTAGCAATATGACAAGAACAAGGACTTCAGCAATTACACTACTTGGCAAAATTGCAACTCAAAACGTCTGTCTCTTCCTCTTGCAACACAGCTGTTGACAAAGTTACCACAACTCAGGTAGCACCGTTCGGGGAGTTACAAAGATGACTCAAATTGCTCATTTTGATCAGTGTTTGCCTCTAGCTTCACTGAAGGGATGCTCTCCGACTTAGTCCTCCTCGTTTTTGGAAATTCAATGACAACTTCTGAACAAGAAATACTAAGTGATGAAGATTTTTCTGTCTTCTTTGCAGTACTATCTTCCGCCGTTCCGCAACACTGCTTCAAAGCACACTGAGTCCTGCAAGGCAACTCACATTTCCCTCTCCCCGATTCAGAGCCAACGCTGGCAAACTCAGGCTGAATGGTAGTTGCGTGAATCCCTTCGTCATGAAAGATCTCTTTAATGCGCTTTGCCACCATCATGTATGTGGAAGGGTCAGGGCACTTGATGTGAGCAGTGCCAATGATCCTGCTGCCCGCTAGTTGCCAAATGTGTAACTCATGGATTGCTTCGACTCCTTCGAGGGTACGTAACTTTGAGTTCAAAGAATGAACATCTATTTGTTTGGGAACAGTCTGCAGAAGTATAAGGGCTGATTCCCTAAGTAATGGGTAAGTTGTGTAAAGGAGTATACAGACCATAATCAAACAAAGGACAGGATCTAAATATAGCAACCAGCAAGGACCAGCCACTGTAATGCCCTCTTGCTCAGACTTGTTAGCTCTGCCAAGTGTTTGGGATAAAGTAGCATTTTCCATGCAATGATTATTGATACATGGATTAAAGCAAGGCCCATCTTCAGGGCATGGATTCCACAACCCATAAAAGAGCAAGGCATTCACTACCACAATTACTGAACCTAAGGCATCTCCAAAAACATGCAGAAAAACTCCACGCATGTTAAGTTGTGCACTAGAGTCTTCTTCAACCTCCTCTTCATCCAGAGGATAATGGCCAGCATTCCCGTTCACTTGTAGGTCAGCCATGTCATCTTTCATATCACCTGACAAGAAAACAATAAAACCATTAGGCAGATGCTGTAATACTACACATTACTGTAATTCTTTATAAAATAATAGCCAACATTAGCATGCCACATCGAGTAAGAAACTGAAAAGCAAGCAGCTCTACCCACACACTTAGCAAGATTTTCTCTGTCTGAGAAATATTCAGTTGTCCCAATAAGTGATCTAAAAAGTCTAAAAGGCAACTGTTTCTACATGGAGTTTAAAGATGTAGAGTGGCAAAGAATGAAGATGACCTGTTTTAATCTATTCTACTGAAAAACTACTGTCACCTTTTCCAGCTGTTTAACCACTTGACTACTCACTGTTTGTTTCTTAAACAAAATGCAGAACTACAGAGCATATGTAAAAAGCTGGTTAAGTAGCTCAGTTAGTTACATTAGTTCCCTCTTTTGAAACACTAGAAGACTAATCACATTGCTAAAATCTCAAACCATAGGACTGCATTGCTCTTTTGTATTACAATTTGAAGCCAGAAGCTCAAAAGCTGTATGAATACAGCTGTATAGCAGCTTCTTTTCAGGTTCAGAAGTGCATTTTCAAAAGGCTTCTGAATTCAAGGAAAAGGAAGTTTTTCCGAGATGGCGCATGGAGCCAGCAGGACAATCAGCTGAGCTTCTAGGTCTGAAACACAGAATTTATCAACTTAAACTGTCCTATACTCAATACTGCTATCTCTGAAGCTCTCAGTGGCTATGAACTAGTGTTATTTATATTTCAGAATGTAATTGATAAATAAATAAGTACCAAAATTATACTTTTTATGCAAGTGACATACAGCTTCTGATGTCCAATGCCATATGTCATGGACTGTGCAAAGCATAAACGAACATTTTAGTGCTCTTCTTTGTCAAAACTGTCTGCACTATTTACCATTCCAATGCAGCTAACCAGCTACAGGGGAACAAATATACATATCACGTTTTCTGAAAGAAAATCATCTTCCGTTGTTTAAATTTGAAAGAATTTTACATGATTAACCTCTTGCTTTACTTCAAAAGTTCTTCCGCGGACACTTCCAGTGCTAAAGAAATGCAACATGCACTGGCCTCTGGCCTGACAAACTGAGACAACAAGCTCTTATTGCTTTTGAGGTTATTCAGTTCAGAGCTTTGTAAACATTAACACGTTAATAAGACCTGCAGCTTCTGCCGCTCTGCTCTCATGGCTGCAATTCTGCAATGGTAAAGTGTGCACAAATCCTTTCCTCTCTGAAGAAGGGGTGGGCTCTCAGAAGGCAGCTGAGCACCGAGTTCCAAGCCTCAGGCTCATTACCTCATGCATCCCGCTTCTGCCCTAAAGCTCCAGCTAAATTTTCCACACTACCTCTAGGAGTTATGGAACATGGGACCTGTAACTTTCCAGAGAAGTCAATAAATTAGAGAAAAATGTCTCAGGTTACAGAGTTCAGACCTCAAGGTCCATCATGGAAGCAAGGAAATAGGAATTCTCTGTTCTACGTCAAGTGCTTGGAATAAAGGAGAGCTGAAAAGTCAGTAGAGCTGTCTATAAGAAAGGGTAACAGGGAACACAGTTCCAGAAAGCTCTTGAGATTTTTTTTAATGGCAAATGGTTAAAACATTTGCATCTGAAATATGCTCATTGAAATCTAACTATAAACTGATTACTTTACATAAATTGTATGCACAAAAATGCCTGTGCAGGACTAGCCCCTAAGGTTATCCCTTGCTTTCCGCTTCCACCTTAGGAAATCAGGGACAATCCCTCTTTGCAATTTCCAGTGAAGGCACAGGACCACCCTAGTCTTTACCTAGACATCTTTCACCTTTTCTTCCAAGTCTCCAATCACCTTTACCTGTAACTTTTCCATGGGTAAACTATGAATAACTCCATCCATTACATAATCATGACAGGGCACAGAAGGAAATACAAACTTATTTCAAAGTTTCACTGTGACCAAAATTATGCCCTATTACCACCTAAATACCCACAACAAATTATTTGTTATTGCCAGAAGCACATCCATGAGACATTCCAGACAAATTAGCTCAAAACAGTATACATTTTAAATTCATGCTATAAGGTAATCTTTTGGTCTAACTAGTCCAAAACTTGGCTAAAAGCACAACTTTTCACCATGTAAGAATAATTCTGAAGGCAAGATATCTATCAGACCAACGGTTAAGGGAATTTTACATTGTTTGAAACTAATTATTAGGATATCTTTGTTGGAACTAAACCAACACTAAGAGCTTATTATGTGGTCAAGAAAATGGTGTAGCGTATTCAGAGGAACTCTCCTATCCTCCTGCAAAACCTGTCTTTCCAAAGCCAACATGGAGTCAGAAAAACAGAAACTGCTAAGTTTCTCAAATGTATACTGGAACCTCTGACCACAAAAAAAATGAAACTGTAGCAAAGTTCACTCTGCTCAGTTAAAGCTCCATTGATGTCACCCTGAAACTGAAAGAGTTACATGGGTTCCAAAGTCTTAAGCCCCTTCCTCGAGGTGACAAAGGATGCCATATGAACAGAGAAGTGGCAGTCGCACACCTTTCACTCTGCTACCATGCAGGACTTGGGCTTCAACCAAGCAGCTTCAAAATCCAGGCTTCTGGATCCTTCAAAAAATAACCCAAGAAATTCCCACCCACGGAACAGACAGTTTGACCACAATAGGGAAGGGAAGATTTTAAATTTGTGTCTGTGTGAAGCTGAGTGGGAAGATGCATGCTTTAGAGAGCTAAAGAAAACTCATTCCAAGACACCATGCGTGTGCTCTGACACCAGTGAGCTCCACATTCCGACTTCCACAGTTCTGACTGGCAATTTCCAAGACTTCTATTAATACCGATGCCACGAAGACGTACAACATTACTGCAGTGGAATATACTTCAGCATGTTGCGTTCGGGTGGAGAGCAGCTTCTCAGGTACCTGACAAGTAGCTGATAACTGCTCCAATGGAGGAGCCGGGACCAAGGCGCTGAGCCGCGCTCCATTTGATGTGCAGCCAGTTCGGATGGCATTAGGGCAGCGCCTTGTGACAGCTCGTGTCGCTAGGCAAGAAACGCTTGTCATATGCCTTCCCTAGCAGAACCAACTTTTCCCACGGCACACCGCTTTATCCCAAGACTTTCACACTCTGACCTGTCTGCAAGACAAGCATGCAGCTCACGGCATCTGAAGGAAAGGTGCGAGGCAGAGGTGCGACAGTCATGAGCCCAACAGCGCTGCTAAGAAAGTTTCTAGCCTCTTCCCCATCAGGGGGGACAGGTGGTCCCCGCACAGCCCGCGCCGGGTGTGACCAGGATGCCACCGCCCTACTCGGGGAAAGGACCCCTCCCGCTTTTCTCTGCCTGGATGGGGCAGCGGCGCCGCGGGGCTTACCCAGCTTCTCCTGGCTGACCCCGTTGGAGCTGCTGCAGTTCTCCACCAAGGTGCTGGTCTCCTCGCGGTGCAGCGCTGCCTCCCCGTCCCCGGGCGGCGGCTCGGGCTTGGGGCCGGCGCGGGGGTGCTGCTGCCGGGCGCCGTGCGAGTGCCCGTGCCCGTGGGCGTGCCCGTGGCCCCCGACGCCGTGGTGGTTGAAGAGGCAGAGCCCCAGCAGGTTGATGATGAGCCCCGCCACTCCCACGGCGATGACCACCAGCGGCTGCTGGATCTCGTGGGGCTCGGTGAAGCGCTCGATGGCCTCCAGCAGGATGGTGAAGCAGAGGGCCGTGAGGAACACGGCGTTGACGAGCGCGCCCATCACCTCGGCCCGCACCCACCCGAACGTGTTCTTCTTGGTGGCGCGGGTGCGCTGGGCGAAGCGCACGGCCACCAGGGCCACCACAAGGGCCATCACGTCCGAGAGCATGTGGAAGGAGTCGGAGAGCATGGCCAGGGACGACGTGACGCGGCTCACCGCCACCTCCACCACGAAGAACAGGAAGGTGAGTGCCAGCATGCACAGCAGCCGCGCCCGCCGGTTCTGCCAGCACCGCGGCCCGCCCGGACCCCGCGCCGCCATCCCCCCGCACATCGCGGCTGCCCGGCGGGAATGGTCGGAGCGCGGCGGGCGGTGGGAGCCCCGGGCGCTCGGGCGGCCGCTCCGCTCGGCTGCGCTCGGCTCCGCTCCCCCCGCGCCGCCGCCGCCGCCGCTCCCTCCGCAGGCGCCGGGCGAGCAAACTTTGCACCCGAGCCCCCTCACTCTTTCCACACGGAACCCAAGCGCCGCCTCGGCCACGCCCCCGCCCTCGCCCCATTGGCCGCCGCGCCCCCCCCGCCCTGCCGTGCCCTCCCGCCCCCGCGCGCGGCCCCGCTCGCCATTGGCCCGCGCTCCCTCGCGACAGGAGGGCCCCGCCCCGCCCGGTAACGCCCATTGAGCCGCCCGTGCCTGGAAAAGCGGAGGGGGCGGTGCCACGCATGACGCGTGGGGGAGCGACCGCTCCGATTGGACGAGCCCGCCGGCTTTCCCCGCCCGCCCCGCCCCCGCAGGCCCCGCCCGCGGCGAGCGGGACTCGTGCAAAAGGTGCGCTTCACACGGCCCCGGCCCGGCGCGCGCCCGGGGGCGGGGCTCCCCCTGCGGGCCGGGAGGGGCGGGGCCGCGCCTGAGGGGGCGCTGTGACGTCACGGGCGTGGGGTAGTGAATTTTGTGAGATTTGGCCCTTTTTCAATGAAGTTTGGCCCTTTGTGCAGCCCTTTTAATTTTTCTCCCATTCGTACCACTGAGGACAGTGAGATGAATCACTCATTCATCTCATGAGGCGATCAATAATAACCGATGAGCTACTAAAAAAAACTGGGAGAGAAGAGAGGAGTTTTGCATGAAGTTTTGAGAAGCTGTATAATACGATGGAATAATATACAATAATAATTGTTATTAAGTAATTATTAAATATTATAATTATAATTATTATTATAATTATATAATAATAGAGAAAAAATCAATGCTGAAAGCTCAGTCCCTGGATACTGTTTGGCTTATTGCAGAATTGCAGAATTGCAGAATCAATTAGGTTGGAAAAGGCTTCTGAGATCATCAGAGCCCACGCTTTGGCCTAACACCACCTTGGCTACTAGACCATGGCACTGAGTGCCACATTCAGTCTCTTCTTACGCTTGTGGCTAGGACAGGGAAAGAAAATGTTTTGAGACATCCAGACAAACAACAACAACAACAACAACAAAACACATAAAAATGTAATCACAAAAAATTACAAAAAGGCAGAGCTGAGCTCATACTTTGCCCACTGTGTTCCAAGGGAGCCAACAATCACGGCAACCAGAGAAAGAGCGCCAAAGAATATTCCGTAAAGAGAGAGATGGAACAACCAGCCATGGCTCTTTGCAGCTGTAGAGGTGTAGCTGTGTGTGTGAATACATAGAGGCAGGAAGAAAAATGCTGCCCTGAGAAGGAAGATCTAGCAAGACTGTAAAAGCCTGTTGCTGCGCTTGGAGATTCCAAAGGGATTGTGATCTAGTGTCTGTGCAAAGACTCTTGACTTCACTTCATTAGTAAAATGACAGAAGGTGTTCACATTTTGACAAGGAAATATTTATGTGTTCACATTTTGACTAGGCAAGATTTATCAACAAGCATAACTGAGGGCAGTAATTCAGGTCAGGCTTCCCCTGAGCTCAGCAGCGTCCCCGTGAGCCCACATCTGAGCACCACACTGCTCTAATCTGTGTGTGCCATCCCCTCGCATTTACTTAACCTGTTTTGCGTGCCAGATGTGGCTTGGGCATCACAGGCACTGCTCTATTGACCTGTGTCCCCGAACCCTCTTGTCTGTGAGATCATGCTTGTGTCAAAATCCGGGTCTGCTGTGGAGCACAGCGGTAGGGACCCACAGGGAATGCTTTAATGACCGTCGTAAAGAGAGTCAACAATTAGATTGCTATAACATTCTCTTCCCCTGCCTGGCTTCCCGTATGCCCCGATGTCACTTACTAAGAAGTAAATAATCAGGAAGCTAACCGGCAATTATATGGAAACGGAACATGCCCGTGTCCTCTCCTCCTCACTCCCACACAAGGCCATTAGTTGGCAAGGAAGAATTACTCAAATTTAGGATATATGGGTCAAAGAAACTGGTACGGCTCAAACCTTTTTTACTGCCTGTTAATGAGGTGGATTATCATTTTACAGGGATTGGTGTTAATCCAATGGAATTTAGATAGGAAGGCAGGGAGGACAAGGAGTTTAATATCTCTCGTTGGCTCTACCTCAGGAATTACTGAAGCTCTTAGTTGGTTGCTCCTGTGATGTCGTCATAGTTTTCTTGATTAAAAGTACTCAGTCCCCTCCTGAGGGAAATAAACAGGATATTGATATCAGTACCACCCTGATAAATAAAAATTCACCACCACTGAACATAAACTGCGTCAAGAGCTTTGCCTGACTTGAGGAGGGGAGTTAGAGCTTTTTGGGTATCTTTCTTGGTATGTAAACAATGTCCAGATCAATTTGTGACCCTTTTAACATTTCTTCACTGCGAGACCTCCTAATCTGCTCAAGGATACACATACCACTGATCCGTGTGCTGCAGTCTTCCCCTGACAGGATGGCATGCTCTTGATCCTTATCCATGTCCAGGAATAGCTTTTCTTCCCACTATACCAGGCTGAATGCTGAATTCCTTTTGGGGCCAAGAGCCACAAGACATGGACCATATACCTTAGGAGAATGGGAGGGGATGGTTTCTTCTCAGGCGGGGTGTAACAGTGTTCCTCAGGCCTTCCACTGCTCCCCGAGGAATAGGGCTGCGCATCTAGTTTTACCCATCAGCCACCATTGTCTCCAGGGCCTTCAAACACAGGGGCTTTAATGTATAATTCCCCTGTGGCAGCCCAGTCCCGCTGCTGGACATGACAGGCACAGACCGGCAGCTGGATCACACAGGAGTTCACATCGCTATGACTTCCCCACACATCACTACGACTCTTTCTCATAACCCAGTGTGCTGCATGCTGCTGTTTCCAGGCCTTTCCATTCTATTACCATACACCAAAAGCCAAGAGAACCAGGAATTGTTCCTAAATTTAGGGCTACCCATCTGGCAACACTATCAATTTTAAGGTTAATGGGAAAGTGACTGATAATGGTACCTAATGATACCATAAATGGTTTGTTACAGAAGAACATTTTGTTCCTGCTTATGCTTTTGAGGAGAATACTTTGTCTTCAAAGTAGGGAGGACTCAGGGGTTTTTGTTGTGTTTTCTTTTTTAGGCTTCCAGGCATTGTTTGTGACTCACACAATTCTTTCTCGGCTCAGCTTCTGATCCACACATGTGGAAGGACCCATCTAAAATCTGTTTACTTATCATAAGTGCTCTGTGTTCTGAGGGGAAGAAGTAACTCTGGGTCTCTGCCATGCAGCTTCATACCACCCCAGAACCAGCTGCCAGGGCTCAACAGAAAGCTGCTGCTTGTCACCTGTTCTGAGAGGAAATGTATTGTACAGAGTGCTGTGGAGCTCTCCTAAGCCAGCTGAGCACTGTAGGAAGAACAGGACTTTGGCTGGGAGTTTTGCTATTACTCAGCATATTTGCTGAGTAAATAAAGTCCCTGCTTTTTTCCTTTGAATTTCTGCACAGGTTTGCAAGTGGAGAGATCTCCACCATGGAGGGCTCTTCATCAGTCCATGCCTTTCCACTTTGAAAAGGTGAAACCCTGCATATAAACCGCTGATGCAGTCACGTATTACAGAGCACACTGCCTCCTTTTAACACCTAACTTTTCCCCTTTCTGTGCAGTCATCAGACCTGTCTGCTTTTAATGAGGGCTTGTGGGACTCTGGCAAACATGACTCCATCTGTCTGTTCCACTTCAAGGCTGTCAGTGTTCATTTTAGGCTGCGTTTCTTGCAGCCAGTGTCTCTCTCTGGTAGATGTCCTTTCAAGGTTTCTTCAAATTAGGTCCACTCAGCAACACCAAAGCATTCACTGTCCAGTTACCTACATAAACAAGTTTGTTCCTTGTGATGAAAAATAAAACAAATGAAAAGTGAATATTACTGTTCACATTGCTCTGCGTGGAATTTACTGTTATGTCCTGATTCAGGAAAGCAGTTTTATCAAGGAAAGGACTTAGATATGTGTTTGCAGTTAATTAAAAGGACTTCTCTGAACAGAGGTGAGTTAAGCATGAGCTTACATGCTTTTGTTTGTGACCTGTGAAGAAAGACTACAGCTATAATTGGCATTAAGATAGGAAATTAAGGACACCTTGCTCTATAAAGAGATTTCTTCTTCTACATGGTTACAACGTCTGTGAAATATGGGCTTTTTGGAATTAGTAGAACTCCAGACAAGTTGAGGGGGTCAGTAGATCATCCACTACACCTCTTCTGAACCTTGCAAAGCAGATTAAAAAATCCACTTTTTTCCCTTCCAAGATATTTTTTCCCTAATAAAGAAACAACTGGTTTTTAAAATATGCCTTTCTTACGTCCAGTTTTGGTCTTTCTACTTCAGTTATTTTGCTTTCTTACTCTCAAGCCATTCATTTGATCCAATGGCATTCGAAGACCTCTTAACTGCTTCATGACTTCTGGCACAATTAACTGCACAACCAATCTATAACTCTTTCTAATAAACAGTTGTTTTTTTCTGATGGACTTAAGACCATGTCCTGTCTGCTTTGATTACCAATTTGTCTGCTTATGAGACAATTAGTATTTTCTTAAAATCCACGCCTAGGCAGGCAAAACAGTTGCTCTAATCAGCTGTGAAGTTAATACTAATAAGGTATTCGTTAGAGCTAATACCTTATTCAGCCAATGCTCAAGGCTCAAGTGGATCCTACTAGAAAAATCACCACCATATTAATCATTAAAGGAAAAAAGTCAGGGAAACTTGTGGTGTTACTCACTTTTGCACATAGTGTAGCTCTCTGCTGGAAAGACAGTAACAATGATTCAACAGGGACAGGAAAATTCTGTTAATATGGAATTCTAGAATGAAAAATATTCTTTTCAGCCAATTGGTTGGTAACATTTTTAATTGTTACTGAAATAAATTATCTTTCATATGG